AGGCGTTGGTGTTCTGGAGTGATTGGGGTGAGAGAAATTAGTAATTATAATCTAGATATTGCACTGATTACTTTATCTTTTATCCCGCAGGTCCTAATCCGAAAATCGAACGCGCTTACATGGATGGCTCGCAGCGCCAAATGATTATTTCGAATGGCGTAACATGGCCGAATGGCTTAACCATCGATTATCCCAGTCGGAAGCTCTATTGGGCCGACGCAAAGCAACATGCCATCGAGTCATCGAATTTTGACGGCACGGATCGCGTAAAAATACTCAGCACACATTTACCGCATCCCTTTGCCTTAACCATTTTTGAGGACACCATGTATTGGACCGATTGGAATACGAAAACTGTTTCGGCGGCAAACAAGATCACCGGAAAAGGCTTCCGTTCGGTACATGAGAATTTCCACTTTCCCATGGACATACACGCTTACCACCCAGCACGTCAGCCAGAATATCCGGACCGCTGTCAGAAGGATCGAAGAGGTCTTCGAGGTGGCTGCTCTCATTTGTGTCTGCCCAACAAGCTGTCGCGGCGTTGTGGCTGTCCCATCGGGCTATCGCTCAAAGAGGATGGGTAAGTTCTTGCACTTTCTTGACTTGCAATTCATATCGTCTAAGTATTTTTTCCAATTTCGTGCAGCAAAACCTGCAAAAGCATACCCGATAAGCTCGTGCTCGTAGCGCGCAGAAAGGATATTCGACTGCGTCAACTGAATCCAAAAGCGTCAGCTGCCGCTGAAGTTGACATGATTTTACCATTGGACTATATGAAGCACGCGGTCGCATTAGACTGGTGCAGTGAAACGGACTACATCTACTGGACTGATGTTGAGCGCAGCACGATCAATAAAGCGCATCTCAATGGCAGCTACCAACAGCGTGTCGTGCATTCAAATCTCGTCTCACCAGCCGGTTTGGCATTAGACTGGATCACTGACAAACTCTATTGGACCGATCCGGCGACTAATCGCATAGAGGTGGCAACATCAAATGGCAAAAAGCGTACCCTACTCATATGGGAGAAGCTCGACAAGCCGCGTGATATTGTAGTCAATCCGATAGAGGGTATAATGTTTTGGTCCGATTGGGGTGAACACGCCATGATAGAACGCGCCAATATGGATGGCAAACAACGCGTAATCGTCGCTGACGCAAATCTCAAATGGCCTAATGGCTTGGCTATAGATTATGAACAACAGAGGCTGTACTTTGTGGATGGCGGTACAAGGACGTTGGAAAGCATGGACTTTGATGGCGGTCGGCGTAAAGTTATACTAAGTAAGTAACCACTTTAATAAATTCGCAACCACTACTCATATTCTCGCTTTCTTACTCGCACTAACAGACAATCTCGGTCATCCTTTTGGGCTGGACATTAGCGAAAATCGCGTTTTCTGGACGGATTGGGATAATAAATCAGCATTCAGCGCTGACAAGCTCAACGGCCAGAATATCACAACTATTATTGCGAATACCAGCGATCTGATGGACATACGCGTATTTCATCGCTCGCGCAGGAGCGTACAAAATGCTTGCGGCTCGAATAATGGCGGCTGTTCACATCTCTGCCTTTTGAACCCGACCAGCTTCACTTGCGCATGCCCTGTAGGCGTGCAATTGCGGGTGAGTAGCACTTAGTGCAGCCAAATGCCATAAAATAATTTCACATTCACAATTCGTATCGTATCTCATCCGAGCAGAGTGATCTACGCACATGCGCCGAAGGACCGAGCCGTTTCATTATCTTTGCACATCGCATTGACATACGTCAAATCTCATTGGACTTTGCGCATTTCATCGATGTTGTACTGCCAATGCCACCCATTGGCAATGCTGTCGCTTTGGATGTGGACTCAACAACCGGCATCATCTATTGGTCTGACTCCAAGCAACATGTGATCATGAGTTCAACACCCGATGGATTGCATGTGCATAAAATAATTGGTGAAAGCTTGGACAATCCAGATGGCTTGATTGTAGACTCCGTCGGAAAAACTGTAAGCAAGCAAGTCGCAGGCAATGTTTTAGTGCAAAGTTTCTGATTACTCAAACTAATTTGCAGATCTATTGGGCTGACGCGGGTCGTCACACCATCGAGGTTGCCAGCTTGGACGGTAAAAATCGTCATCTGATCGCCTATAAAGATTTGGAATCACCGCGCGGCTTAGCTTTGGACTACGAGGCTGGGCTCCTGTTTTGGACTGATTGGGGACATTATCGCAAGATCGAGCGTGCGCATATGGATGGTGAAAGTCGACAACGTATTGTCACTTCGAATCTTGGCTGGCCAAATGGTTTGTCGCTGGACTTGAAGACGAAACGTATCTACTGGGTCGATGCGCAGCTGAAGACTATCGATTCGTGTGACTACACTGGCAATCAGCGTAAATTGATAATGTCCTCACTGCACCATCCTTATGCGCTGGCCATGACTGATGATCATATCTATTGGACGGATTGGAAATCGAAAGCTTTGCATATGACCGATCGACGAAACATTACAGCGAAAAAGGAAATAATGACCAATCTAGATGGATTGATGGATATCAAAGTGATAACGGTAAGAAACATATTACTTACTATATTTATAAATGTATTGTGACATAACCACTTACATATCAACAGGTCAACAAAACGCAACCGGAAAATGTTTGCGGCAACAACAATGGTGGCTGTTCGCACCTTTGTCTGCGCAATCCAACGGGCTATTCTTGTAGATGTCCCATCGGTCTCAAACTGAAAGAAGGCAGCACCAATCAGTGTCAGACCTTACCAGATGTAAGTTTCTCTTTCTGGTACAGCAAAACCGCTTTTCTAATTTGCCATACAATTTTGCACGCAGGAGTACCTACTGATTGCCCAACGCTCCGGCATTGGCATGATCTCGCTCAATATGCCCGATTACATGGACGTGGTATTGCCCATAAATGCTGTACATGGCGCCGTTGTGCTCGACTACCATTTCCGCAAGAAGTTGCTTTACTTCGCGGACGTCAACACAGACGTAATTAGACGCGTTGATCTCACAAATCTCTCTGACAGCAGGGCTATTGTAAATAAAGAACTGTTGACACCGAATGGCATTGCAGTCGACTGGATTGCAGATAATCTTTACTGGTCCGACACAGATCGAAAAGTCATTGAAGTTGCGCGTTTGGATGGCAGTTGCCGCAAAGAACTCATCTCCGAAGATTTAGGTGATCCACGTTCGCTGATCCTGCATCCGCGCAAAGGGTTTGTTTAGCTGCAGCATTTGCCTTTCAAAAGGTTTTTCATTGCATATTTGTTCAGGTATCTCTTCTGGTCTGACTGGGACGCACCGGCACGCATAGAACGTAGCTTGTTGGACGGCTCTAATCGCAGCATTATTGTCACCGACAATTTAGGTTTCCCCACCGGACTGACGCTGGACTTTGAGTGAGTTTTGACGCAAGATTAGTGAGAAAAAAGTTCCATTTAAATTTCTTCTCTTTTCACAGTAACCGCCGCCTACTTTGGGCCGATGCGTTGGAAGACAATATTGTCTCGGTCGACTTCAATGGCAAGCGCCGCACAAAGATTGTGGACTATGCGCCGCATCCATTTGGTCTGACAATGGTTAGCAAGATGCCGACTAATTTACTAATTATTTTCTCTTGTCGACCACCCAATTTGCACTTATTAACTTCATATTTTTCTTATCCTCTTGCTTACTCTCTAACAGTTCGATAACAGCATTTACTGGACCGACTGGTACAACAAATCCGTCTATCGTTCATTTCGCAAGGGGCGTGGCTTCAGCAATCCCGTAGAAATACGCGACTCTCTCAATGGCGCGCTCGATATACGCGCAGTCTCGATCAAACGTCAAGTGGAGGAGTGGAATCAATGTGCCCAGGAGAATGGCGGTTGCACACATCTTTGCCTCTTCCGTGGCTCAGACTATGTGTGCGCTTGTCCCGATCAGTCCGATGATCGTGAATGTAAACCCACACCGAGATTCTTAGTGCCGCGCCGTAGCGGCGGCGACAACACACCAGATTATGGCGAGGAAGCGACAGATGGCGACGGCGCTTCAACGGAGCATGATGACGATACATACGAAGCAAGTTCAAAGACGAATGAGCGTGAAACATTCATACTCATCGCTAGCGGTGTCGTGATTGTGATGCTTCTCCTGATCATAGCCGCCATCATATGTGAGTTGGGAATGTATAGAATTTCTTTAGATTTAGATAATATTTTGTACCATTCTGCTCTTTTTCTGCAGTTCTCATATTCAATTCGAAACGCAATAAAACGAAAAGGCACTCGCGTGGCTCCAGTCNCAATGGAATACACTCCCTGATCTGGTCCGCACCGATAATAAATTGTGAAATACGTTTGCATCTTTACAAACAACCGGCTCACCATATCAAAACTTCCGAAAAAAATATTGCACCTAAGTTTTTCTTTGAAACCTTAAAATGTTGAACATACTTTGAAGTTCCCACATATCTTACTGGTAAGCGACCCGGCATACCTAAAAATTCGTTTCTTCTTGAATTAAAAAAGACCTAATGAAGCCAGGCGAAAAAATCGTCTTCGCTTCTGCGTTATATGTGCATAAGGATGGGCACGACGTAAGACTTATTGTTAAATTTTCGTTCGTCAGGAGAGGGGGACTTTACTGGTCAATCTTCTACTCAGTCCAAAGTATAACTTGTTGTGAAGTGAGATTCCCTGTCTTCGGATATTTCCACATTGTAGCTTGGGGCTCCGATTACATTGTTTTGAGTCACGCAGCCTCAGTCTGTTATCGGTCGAAACATTTCGTAAATTAAGCAACGTAGATTCAGGACTCCTAATACTTTTTAAACCAGTCCATCGAGTCTAAGAAACTTAGCAACTGTCATATCCTCATTTTTGCAGTCACACTGAGATCTCAGAGAAATGCAGAAAGTAGAAATGTGTGCCTGCAAATGCAGAGGGCAATGCAATCGCACAGAAAATGCTGGTTATTTCAGGCTCTTTCTCATCGTATCAGCTGCTGCAGAAGTTATTGTAGGGGACCCGACAGCAGCCATCTACACTGCAGGCATGAAGTTAGATCTGAATGTGGGAAGTGGGGTATACTCGCAATAACTCTCACTTAGCCTCAGTATTCGTCTGCCCTATCTCTGCAGCGTTTTTAAAGCTGAACTATCAGCAATCAACTAAGCTGCAAGATATCTAATCGATGTTTCCATTAATTTGCCTGCAGCAGCTACATAACTTTTCTGAAATTTAGATCGGTATTGAAGCACTTAATTGTGACAAATCTACATCGAATATAGAGGTCTATAAATGAGCTGACAATGAGTTATGGCACTAATGCTTTATGGGTGCCAAGCCATAAAGACATACGAGGCAACTATGCTCCCAATGAATTAGCAAGGAAAGATACCTTACCGTCTGTAATCAGTACCGCTCGTAGTGCGGGCATTCCGCTATTTTCTTGCAAACTTTGGCTGGAAAATAACTTTATCGAACGGACAAATACAAAATGGGCTGCCAAGCCCACGTGCAGGATATTTCGCCTAATTTGGATAATTGTAGATCTCGACCTCTCCACTTCTAAGACAGGCACTACCTGATGGGCACCCATGCTATTAGAATGAGTAGCTATTTAGTCAAACGATTACTGTCGTAGCTGCCGTGATTTGGAGGAAATTGTGATAGTGTACTCTTTTGCTTGTCTGGCTGAACTGAATACAGCTAATCCTTCGCGGGATAAGGGCAGCCAAAATAATCTAGCCTATGACAAACGTCGGACCAATTTCCTATGGACTCAAGCATGATGTCCTCAAGGTTGTCAACCTTAAATGGCCTCGCCAACTTCCTGCTCAAGTCATCCATTTCGATTGCAAATCTCGAGCAAACGAAAAAGCATTGTTCTGCGTCCTCGATTACCTGTTCAGTGTAGGCGGTGCAGTAGGAATCATTCTCGAGTGTAAGTCTGTAAAGCGGCCAGTCTCTATCTATTCGTTAGTGACTGAGAGGCTGCCAGCAATCGCTTCTACATAGAGCTCTAAAAGTCTTTCCATTACTTTAAGTTAAGTAAATATCGAACAAGTGATGGCTGTAAGTCCTTAGTCATAGTGCTTAGTACTGAGAGGTTAGTCTGCCAATACAACGTGACTTTATATACTGCTCTACCAAGTGTTTCGGTCTTTTCAGCTTAAAAGATGTGAAGTATTTATAGTATCTTTGCAAACTTCTCATCTTATACCGCGTTAAATTATTCTTTTTTTATTTAATTTATTTTTATTGCTTCATTTTATTAGGATCGAGTCTACGAGGAGCGTAGCATGACCACCGAGACAGCGTCGTCGAGCCTCTTCGTGCCGACGCCATCGCCAATGGCATCGCCTTCCACCAAACTAACGACACTCTCAACAATAACGTAAGCCAAGGCGTCGAAGAACCGACTGGGCACAGGCATATTGTAAAAATAAAAATAAAATGAACAAATTCGAAATCTAAAACTTAAAGCGAAACGCTAAAAACTGCTCGAGAAATTAACTAAAAGTACAGGCTGCAGTTTTTCCCAAAGGAATTTCAGATATACACTGGGAGAAACAATTCTAAATATATACATATATAATATGTAACGAAAGTATGGATAAGAGGAATAGTTGCAAGTGTAGCGGATTTAGAGAAATGACTTCAAGTTTTAATAAGTTTCTCTGTTGGCAACTACCGTTTTTTCTTTTTTGTTTTTGCAAATTTCGAAACCTTCATGATGAATGTATTTGAGTATTTATTGTATAATAAACAAAAAAAAAAAACAAACAATTTCTGTGTAAATATGTAGAAGTTAAAAAGAAAGCTGAAGAATAAATTGGCGCAAATGAGTAAATGTGTATGTAGAAAGCGAGTAAATAGTTAATAGATGAAATGTAAATGAAGCAAAATGCACGGTTGTTTCTAATTGCAAAAAGATAAATAAATACATAGAATGAAACTACATATTTATTTGTATGTGTGTGTGTGTGTAAATGTATGTATGTATTTTTATTAGACAGCAATCGTTTATTGATACAAAAATTTGCAGATTAACTAATTTACAACAACAAACTAACTAAGCAAAAAGAATAAATTATGCCGTCAACTGCACCACCACTCCACTACTCCACTACACTGTGCAAAAAAAAAAAGTTTTTAAAACTTAAAAATATGTAAATCGAAATTTTTGTATAAATTTTTTTCGGTGTATCTGATTTTTTAATTGGATTTAGTAATACAGTAATTCATTTCAACTATGAGAGTTACTACAGATTTTGTAAAAGGAAAACTGGACTGACACTAGTGGAAAATAGTACTTTGAAAATATAAGACGAACATGCCTTTTACGCATACATACACACGTACATAGAGGTGCAAACGTGTAAAAATACTGAAGAATCAAAATGACTTTAGTAAAGCATTTTAAAGCAACAATAACCGTGAAAGAGGCAGCAATGAAAAATATGAGTTTTTTTTTTTTTGTAATAAAAAAAGACACTTTCCTATTTGCAACACTGAACAAAACTAAAACTCAGCGACAAGCAACAACAAATTGTGCAAAGTATTTAGACAAGAAAAAAGTTTGAGGATAACGAGTATATAGTTAAGCGAATAAATACGTCAAAGCGTCGTCGGCGGCATTAAGGTGACCGTTCTAAAAATTTGTAAATAGTGAAAAATCGCTTAGCGTCTCAAAAAATTCTGCTACATACATACATACACGTGCATGCAAATTGAATGCATTATTACACAGCAAAAAATAAATGCTAAAATGTAATTGTGTGTGTGTGTATCTGCAGTAGCTAATGAGTCAGTACGCTTAGAATGCGTAGCAAACGACGAAGCAAATCACTTAAAGTAGGAACAGAAAATAATAATAATTTCAAAATGTGAGAAAGCATGAAAATGCGCCCAACTACGTAGTACATTGTACATAGGTACATACATAAATAAATAAATAAATAATTTCAAATTCGTAAAAACAAAAAAAAACAGTATATATATAAAATAAACTATAAATATTTATGTATGAAAGCCTATAAATGAGAAAAGTTACTCGTTGTGCGCCAGCAGAAGTGATGAGTAAAACTGTGAATTTGTGCCAAAACAATTAAAATTAGGAAAAAATAGTAATATGTACATGAAAACATATGTATATGTACATAAGTGTAAAAATTTTAAATTTATTGTTAGTGATAAGTTTTATTCAAATAAGTGTAAAACGTTTAACGCCAATTCGCTGTGCTCTTACACACTGTGCGCATAGCAAAATTGGCATTAGACGATTTTCGGAATTGTTTCTTGGATAATATTAATTCTTTTGCCACCAAACTAAAATAATAAAGAAAATATTTAATATTTGCGAGTCGAAATCTAAGCTCTTTGTAGTAAATCTAATTACACAAAACATTTTTTTAAATGCAATTTCCACCAAGTAGCTGATATTGATTTACTTTTTTTTAACATACTAGTTATTTGAAATTAAATTACATCTGCGAAAACAAATTTTAGCAAATTAAAGAAAAAAAAAAACTAAAAAAAACTTGCTAAATATTTCTTGGTTTTAACGTTTTAATTATGCAATAAAAAAATCAGTTATCACTCTGTGAAGGAATATTTTCAAAAATTAATAAAATCTTACTTTTTAAGATTAAAATATAAAAATTATTTTTTTCAGTTTCTGTTATAAAACAAAATTTCATTGACTTTTAAATTTTTGCTTAAAAAAAATAAAACAAAAATATTTTCCGACTTCTATTTGAAAAATATTTTAATTCTCTATTGAAACTAATTTAAATTTTTTCTTAAATATGCCGATCTTTTAGTTTAAAATATTTTCGAGTTTTTAAATTTTTCTGAAAATTTTACATAGCTTAAAAGATCGATAAATATGTAGTTCTCAAATTGGAATTTTTATAAAAACAAAAGTTTAATCTTGACGGCCAAGCATAGCTCAAATGCCAAATTTTTTTATTATTGAAAATTGAATTTTTATTTAATATTTTGAAAATAAACAAGCGACTTTTGTTCCAATATTTACAAAAGTATGTAAGTTCATAGTTTTCAAGCATTTTATTTTAATAAGTTCGATTGTTTCCAAATTTGATATTTTAAGCACTTTTAACTCATGAGAAATCGTTTTCAAGATCCTAAAATTTTGCAGAAATCATACAAGTTTTACATTTTTTAACTTTCAAGAATTGAAATGTTAATTCTTTTCGTTTAACTCGCTTAATTTTTTTTCAAAATATTTTCGGTATTTTTTATGTTTCCTTTTTCTAAATTAGTTGAAAAAATACTTAATTTAACAGTTCTCTCACATATTTTAAAATAAGTTCTTCAAAATTCGGTTTTAGAATTAAAGTTTAATTTATTTAAAAGACAAACGTGAAGCTCTTCTGGTGGTTAGATAGAGAGTTATATATCCTTCTAAGCTGCCTCAATTTAGTCGAGAGATCAAATAAACAAAAACACACAGGTTTTTCCGCTGAAATACATTTTCGGGCAAAGCTCTTTTAAGCTTTCTATAAATTTTTTTAGTCACGTGTAGAGTAAAAGCTATATCTGCCCATCGCTGGTGTAGAGCATCGCTTTGCCCGCTTTTTTTAATTTTCGGTAAATTTTATATAGGTCAGTGATGCTCAGAGAGACCTTTTACTCTGTGCGCTCCCCCACATAGATGTGTGCATGGAAAAGCTCGATCTCTCTCTCTCTAAAGAAAAGTTATATAGCTGAGATCATGAATGATTTACGCCAGGGGTCGGCATTCTAACACATTCAAACGATTCAAAACTGAGTCTGTGTGCGTTAAATGCACTGCTCAGCTGCTTAGAGAGCGCTCAGTGAGCTATGGCCTGCCGACCACTGATGTACGCTATGAAGTGTTTGGTTAGCTCTGGGGCGACCAGAGTGAGCTATTGCCATATTACAAATCTTATGTGGGCAAAAACTCAAGAAGCTTTGCACGCTTGATACCTGATCCTCAGCTCGATCGACTAATTTCTTTCAAATCACAGTTTCAAAATCAGATATTATAAAAAAGAAGTAAATTTTCGTGTTTTTGAAACCCCATAACTAACTCAGTGACGACCAGAGAGAGCTTTTACACTCTTTGCGTTGAAATAAACTTTACAAAGAACTTTAAAAAGCTTATCTCGCGAGATATGTGTACAATACATAGTACGTACATATGTATGGATTTACAGCAGGGTGGTTCTAGGTACAAAATAAAAACCTCCACGAAAATTTAAAAATTTTAAACGAATTTTTGGGGTCACTGTCAGGCTTTGAAAAAGTTAAATTTATTTTAAATCGCAAAAATTCTACAACATTTTGACTTCCAAATTTTTTTTTTTTAGTTTACCAATTTTCTTGTATGTTTATACTTTGAAGGACCACCCTAATGTACAACCACTTATTCTCTTCATGAAAAGAGAGGGAGAGAGAAGAGAGGTACAACAATTTTTATTGCAAACTAGCAAATACCCGGCGTGCTTCACTGCGCCTTAAAAGTATTTTTTCTTTTGTTTTTTGATGCCCTTATTGTAATTAAAAACAATATTTCCAACAGGTGGCAACCCTCTTCAAAATATTTTCGGCCGTAAACTTTCCAAAACCTCTTCAGGTTGATACCCATATTGCAATATTTAATTTATCTTAACAATTAAACCAAATTAAAAGTTTCAAATATGTGGCAACTTCCACAAAAATATTTTCGGCTGTAAGCCCACTTAAATCTCTTTCTTTTGACAGCCATATTTAAATATTTACTTTATGTTATCAATTGTTTTAAAATGCAGTTATCAAACAGGTGGCAACTCTCTATTTTTTCCCCCCTATATTTTAAGTTATACGTCCAGCAATACATCGCTGAAATCTCTATTGAATTTCATGCTTTAGGTTTCGATTGTTGCGCTTACAAACATACAGACAGAGGGACAGACAGGCAGATAAAAATTCTAAAAATTGTTATTTTGGTTATATTGCTCTAATAAATTAATTAAAATTTCTTTAATAGCTATAATGTACAGACTGTAACAATTTTATTATATATATAGATTTTATTCTTTAGAACTTTTGAGTTTTTTGGTTTTAATGTTTTAGTAAGCTTATTTAAATTTTCGTATCGTTCAAACATTTGTAAATATTCTCCCATATATTTTATTTACTTGAATCAAAAATTATTCTAATACAATACAACGCCTAAACAAATACCATGATTATTAAAGTTTTTTTTTATGAAAATATGCAGCTTGGTGGAAGAATTTATAAATTTAATTCTAAAACTATTCACAATTTTTTGCTTTGCACGAAGGTTGCTCCAACTTTGCCGCGGGCTCATACAGGCAATGTGGAGTGATCAGCAATCCAAAAAACTAGTGAATGAATTGTAAATAT